AATCTCATTGACTTGAACATTCTTACAACAAGTCGTAACCCTCTTTTTCTCCAGACAAAAAAAAAGCAGAGGAACAGAAGTGAGAGAGAAAAAGAGATGAATTCACAGTTCATGCAAGAAGCTTCAGAAGCTTGTTTCAATGGCTGTTGTTCATCACCATTCTCATCTCACTCTGATTCACAGAAACAAGAAGAGTTCGAGTTCTCGTTAATCACATCAGGAGCTTCGTTTCTAACCAGAGACATCAAATTCACAAGCCAAGATTCTCTTCCTCCTCTTCGTACATCTTTCTACGATCTCATCACAGCTTTTCCAGATTACTTGCAGACAACTCAAGCCGATCATCTCCGATCTACAGAGTACCAAAACCTATCTCCCTCCTCTCGACATGTGTTTGGTCAACAACAACCTTTGTTCTCTTACTCACAATTCCGACAAATCTCTGAATCCGATTCGAATCCTCCTCTCATTACCTTGTCTTGCAAGACAGCGAGCTCAGGTGAAGAAATGTTATCATTCTCGAGTCAAGAAACTCGATTTCAGTCAATGATGAGGAAAAGAATCATGGGGTTTATGAATCTTGATGAATCAGAATATCACATGATTCTAACTCAAGACCGTTGCTCTGCTTTCAAGATTGTAGCAGAACTCTATTCTTTCAAAACAAATCCGAATCTTCTCACTGTATACAACTACGAAGACGAAGCAGTCCAAGAAATGATTAGAATCTCAGAGAAAAAGGGTATAAAACCCGAATCAGCCGAGTTTTCGTGGCCTAGCACAGAGGTTCATTCGGAGAAACTGAGGCGAAAAATCGTAAAGAGTAAGAGAAGAAGCAAAGAAGATAAAAGAGGACTCTTTGTGTTTCCACTTCAATCTAAAGTCACTGGAGCTTCGTATTCTTATTCATGGATGAGTTTAGCTCACGAATACAAATGGCATGTGTTGCTAGACACATCTGCTTTAGGTTCTAAAGACATGGAGACTTTAGGTCTTTCTCTGTTCCGACCAGATTTCTTAATCTCTTCTTTTACAGAGGTTTTAGGTCAAGAAGATGATCGTCCTTCTGGTTTCGGTTGCTTGTTCGTAAAGAAATCTAGCTCTCAGGCTTTAACACAAGAACCAAAACTCATCACCAATCCGGCGAATCTCACCGTCGTAAAAGCCGCGGTAATAGAAAATGACGAAATTACCCTTGGGGACCACGAGGACCACAAGGCGTCTACTTCTGCCACTGAGATAGTTGAAAAAGAAGAAGAAGATAAAGCAATGATTGAGTTTCGTGGTTTAGACCACGCAGATTCTCTTGGTCTAATCCTGTTAAGTAGAAGATCAAAGTCGTTGATTTTGTGGCTTGTACGAGCATTGATGAGTTTACAACATCCAGGATCTCACCAAACAGAGATGCCTCTGGTTAGAATCTACGGACCAAAGACGCCGAAACAGAGTAGAGGACCGTCGGTTTCGTTCAACATTTTCGACTGGCAAGGAGAAAAAGTGGATCCTTTAATGGTGGAGATGCTCGCGGAGAGGGAGAAGATAGGTTTGCGATGCGTGTATTTGCAGAAGATTAGGATCGGGAACAAGAGAAGAAGTGATGATGAAGTAAGAGGAGGGCAGAGACAGAACCTGAGTTTGAGAGTGTCGGTGGTGAGTGTTGGATTAGGGTTTATGACGAGTTTTGATGATGTATTTAGGGTTTGGGGGTTTGTGTCGAGATTTTTGGATGCTGATTTTGTGGAGAAGGAGAAGTGGAGAAAGAAAGCTCTTGAGAAAGAAAAAAAACAAATGACGGCGTGAAATGATGAATCCTCTGTAATGTAAATCCGATTGGTACAGTTTTAAATTAGGGTTGAACATTTCGGA